TTTGCAGGTATGATAGCACGTACTTCTTCAATTGTTTTTGGGAAATTATCTTACAGATGTTCTCACAATGAAACTGAATCTTGGATACTTGACTCAGGAGCCTCTCACCATATGACCTTTGATATAACAGTCCTAACAAACATTACATACCTTCCATGTCCTTTGTTGATTTCCTTACCAAATGGTTATAGAGTAAAAGTTATGAAAATTGGTACTGTAATACTTGCACCAAACATTATTTTGCATCGAGTGTTGTATGAGCCTTCATTCAAATATAACCTTGTTTCAATTCATTGCCATTCAAAATCCATGCCTAAAAGTATTGTGTATTTTTCTGGATCTTCATGCATTCTGCAGGCCCATTCAATGAAGAGGCCTCTGGTAATTGGTGAAGCAAAGGATGGCGTTTATTTTTTGTGTTCTAAATGCTTGATGAAACATGTACCCCCTGGTGCTGCTCCTGCTGCTTCTACCCCTGATCATCTATCAAGACCAAATGCTTTCAATTCTAAGTCTGTATCTTTTTCTACTCACTCAGGTAAACATAATACACAACCTTCTATTTGTTCTTCAATCAATACAATTCCTAATACTTCTCTTATGACTCATACTTATAATGATGTGGATGTATTGTGGCATAATAGACTTGGACATTTACCTTTTGGAAAAATGAAGGAAATTAAATCTATACCTGAAAACTTTTCTGTGAAACAACATTTCCATTGCAACATATGTCCTATGTCAAGACAAGAAAGAATGCCCTTTCATCATAGTATCCATGTTTCTACCAAATTTTTTCAATTATTACATATAGATTTATGGGGTCTATATCACATGTTAACACACGACAATCATAGATACTTTATCACTATTGTTGATGACTATATTAGATGCACATGGACACAATTGTTGACATGCAAGAGTAACAATTAAGCAGACATCAAAAGTTTCTTATCCGTGATTGAGAATCAATTCAATACTCATGTTCAGACCATAAGAACTGACAATGGACTTGAGTTTTTTAATGCAGAAACATCAAATTTTCTTGAGGGAAAAAGAATTATACATAAAAGAACTTGTCCTTACACACCCCAGCAAAATGGGGTGGTGGAAAGAAAACACAAATACTTGTTAGAAACCTCCAGGGCACTTCTTTTTCAATCCAAGTTACCTATTAAGTATTGGGGTGAGTGTGTATTGTGTGCTACTTATATCATTAATAGACTTCCTACCTCCCATGTAAAGGGTAAGTCCCCATATGAGCTACTACATAACACCAAACCAACATACTCACACATGAGATCATTTGGTTGTCTATGCTACCCTACTTTCCCAAAGACTCATAGGGACAAATTTCAAACAAGGACCACACCACATATATTCATAGGCTATCCCTTTGGGACAAAAGGTTACAAGTTTCTTAGTCTAGCCACAAGAAAAATGCACATCTCAAGGGATGTAGTTTTTAAAGAAAGTATTTTTCCTTTTGCTGTTTTATCTGATGTATCTACTTTTCCTTCAGTATTACATTCTGTGCCCTTCATAGATACTTTGCATGATGATACTGTTTCACATTCTATGCAACATATGAAAAATAATGTAGATGGTGCAAGTAACAGTCCGCTTCATACATCACCCAACACTATAACTAATTTATCACCCAATAATGTAGAACCTGATCCTATTTCTGTCCAAAGAGCTGATATTATGATTCCCAATAGACCATCCAGATCACACAAATTACCAGCTTATCTACATGATTATATTCTACCCAACAATATGACAAATCAATTACATAATACACATGTTTCACTTAACACTGCATTCTCAAAACACCAACATATACCATCTGAGATCTTGTCCTCTGAGAATCAAACACTTATGAGAAACATTAGTAATGATAATGAACCTCCTTCATATGAAGAAGCTGTTATAAACCCTGCTTGGCAACAAGCTATGACACAAGAATTTGAAGCATTGCACACAAATCATACTTGGGATCTTGTTAATCTGCCTAGTGGTAAGAAGGCAATAGGATGTAGATGGGTGTATAAAGTGAAGCATAAAGCTGATGGAACTGTTGAGAGATTCAAAGCAAGACTTGTAGTGAAGGGCTATACTCAAGAAGCTGGAATTGTTTATACAGAAACCTTTTCCCCAGTAATCAAAATGACAACTGTGAGGGCTTTGTTAGCTACAGCTGTAAAGAAGGGCTGGGATATATTCCCACTTGATGTGAATAATGTCTTCTTACATGGAGATTTACATGAAGAAGTGTACATGGAAGTTCCCCCAGGCTTGCAGTGCACAAACCAGGATTGGTATGCAGATTGAATAAATCTTTATATGGCTTGAAGCAAGTCAGTAGGCAGTGGTATGCCAAGCTGACTGAAGCTTTATATTCAAAAGGGTACACACATTCTTTGAATGACTATTCCTTGTTCTATAAGAAGTCTGAGACTTCCACTATTTTTGTTGTTGTTTATGTAGATGATGTGATCTTAACTGGCACAAATGTTTCTGAAATCAATGACCTCAAAGCATTTCTTCATGACAAGTTTAAAATCAAGGATTTAGGCATGCTGCATTATTTCCTTGGAATGGAGGTATTATATAAAGATGATGGACTGACAAAGGAAGGAACACCTTTAAAAGAACCACTTTCCTACAGGAAACTCATTGGTAAACTGAATTTCTTAACCAATACTAGAATGGACATCTCATATAGTGTACAACATCTCAGCCAATTCATGCAAGATCCTAGACAGCCACATTTACAAGCAGCATTTCATTTATTGAGGTATCTTAAGGCAGACCCCACACTAGAAATTTTTATGTCCAAAGATCAGTCTTACAGTATCAAAGCTTATTATGACTCTGACTGGGTTGCATATCCAGACACTAGAAGGTCAGTAAGTGGCTATATTGTATTAATGGGTAACAGTCCACTCAGCTGGAAGTCCAAGAAACAAGAGATCATATCCTTGTCATTAGCAGAAGCAGAGTATAGGGCTTTAAGAAAAGTTGCGGGAGAATTAGTTTGGCTCAACAGATTACTCACAGAACTAACTCTACCATTGCAAAGACCTATAGAAGTATATTGTGATAGTCAATCAGCTCTTCATATAGCTCGAAATCCAGTGTTTCATGAACGCACTAAGCATATCGAAGTTGATTGTCACTTTGTGAGGAATTTACTTCAGACAGGCCTCATATCACTTCATCACATAAGTTCTGATAATCAACTGGCAGACATACTAACTAAGACATTGACTGGAATTAAGCATTCTGCAGCACTTAACAAGTTGTTTGTGTTCTCCACGCCTCCAACTTGAGGGGGGTGGGGGGGTGTTACGATTTAGTTAGTTAATTATGTGTAATCATTTTAGTTAGCCATTTCAGTTAATTAGTTAGAATAGTTAGTTAGTTAATTCTGTTATTGAACAACTCACTAGTTTGTTAGATATTTTGATTCTTTTTTGTATAAATACATTGTCTCCTCACAATACAAGGTAGTTGGTTAATTCCTTCATCACACTTTCTTCCTCTTCTTTCACTTTTACTGTCGCGACTACTTTTCCTCTTCTTCCTTCAGCTCCATTGTTGTATTCATGGAAGCTCAATCATGATTTGTGAGCTAGTTTTTGACATATTTGTTAAATTACAAAATTAAAATAAAATTAATTTTTTAAAACATAGATTATACCTTTTAAAATTAATTATTTTGAAGGTAAATAATACTAATCACCAAAAACTTATACCTTAGAACTTAATGGATTCAAAAATTTTAGTCTTTTAAGTTACTATGATTTTTTAAAGTTATATAATTTATATATATATATATTAATAAAAAATTTAATATAATGAACTTGACTCTATTAATCACAATGCATAATAAATTTTATAAATTTGAACAGTTCAAAAAGTTATTAATAACCGTATTTCCGTACACGTAGTCAAAAGAGGAAACGCGTGCATTAAGAGTCCGTTTGAATAAGCTTAAAAGAAGTAGCTCTTAAAAAGTATTTTTGAAAGTGCTAGAATTTATTTTTAAAATAAGTAGTTATGTGTTAGATAAAAATGCTGAAGTTAAAAAAAAGTTATTAATGTGTTTGGCAAATAAGTGTTGATAAATACTTTTTTTAATTAAAATGTCTGAAATACCTTTAAAAGTTGTTAACATGATAAAAGTTGATTAATTTAAGGTTTTTATATTTAAAAAAATAAAACAAAATTAACTTATATTTTACATCCATAAGTAATTATATTTTGCTATCATTCACATATTTCTTTATTATTACAAATTGTTTATAAATAATTATTATAATAATATAATATAAAATTCTAATAATTATATATAATTATATTAAATAATAATAATATAATAATATGAAAATAATAATAATAATAATAATGATGATAATATATAATAATAAAAAAAATAATAAAATAAATAATAATAATAATATATATTTAATAATAAATAATAATAAGATAATATGAAAATAATAATAATAATAAATAATAATAAAATAATATGAAAATAATAATAATGTATAATATATAATAATAATAATAATAAAGAATAATAAAATAAATAATAATAATAATAATAAAATTATAAAATATTATTAATAATAATATATAATAATAATAAAAAAAATATACATAATAATAATAATAATAATATAACAATATGAAAATAATACAAATACTAATAGTAATAATATAATAATAATAATTATTATTATCATTATAATAATAATAATAATAATAATAATATATAAAATATTGATAATAATAATATATAAACAACAACAACAACAACAACAATAATAATAATAATACATTATGAAAATAATAATAATAATAATATAATAATAATAATTTATAATAATAATAATATTAATATTCTGATTCGAATTGAACTACACTTCTATAAAATTAAAAATTAAAAAATTTAAACGAAAAAATATTAAATCAGATCAAAAAACCAAACATTCACACCCTTAATTAAAAGAGCTCTCAAAATCTTATATATATATATCATTAATGATTACCAGTAAAAGACAAAACCAAATGCACATCCCTAGTTAGAAGAGCTTTTATCATTTATGATTACTAGTAGTAAAAAAATATACTATATTGCTCAACAAGCATTAATATAATCACAAAATATTTGTTAAAAAACATTAAAATCATTCAATCTCCACGATCCAATCCCTTTCATCCTTGATAACACCTCTTTGTATCCCTACTAATCTGGAATAGAACTGCTTACACGATAGATCTGAGCTTATTTTATAATCAATCCTGCAACAATAATAAATACAACCATTAAATTTGATTATTTAAAAGTAATGCAAAAGAAGTGGCTATTAAGTAAACATTAAATACTATATTTTTATATTCGATTAAAGTATTCCAACAGATCTTTCAGCGTTGACTAATTAAATTTGTATATTTTTGAAAAAATAAAATTACCTTTGGCCTTTGTATGTGATACTTCCCACAGGAGCAACACCAACTGCAGTTCCCGTACAAAATACTTCATCAGCACTAATTAATTCATCAGCTTCGATTAAACGTTCTTCAACCTGTATTTTTAAAATATATGATTAAAACGCTTAATCAAATCAAGCTAAGCATAAAGTATTGAATCTGATTTTATAAATAAACAGTTACGTAACATTATAATAATTTTTTTAAAAAAAA